TTCCCCATAGGGGTCTCAATTGGGCTCCACCACACTCCCTTTCCCCTCTACAGACTTACCTGCAGGGTGCTGCTCTCCACACTGCCCAGCTGCATTCCTGGTCATGTGCATGTGTGCAGCTGCACGTGTGCACGCAGCATATAGGGGCCTCATCCAGAAGGCATATTATATTTATCAGTGATTTTATCAGCTACACCGGCCAAAAAATGCTGATAGCTGATAATGTTAATTTTCCTTTTGGTCCTGTTCCAATATGGGACCAATATATCTGTGCACCTCTAAATCCTAGCCGTACCTTCAAACATATCTACTACAACCCCAGGCTTGGTGTCATCTGTGAACTTGCCAAGGGTGCACTCCATCCCATCTTCCAGATTGTTGATGAAGATATTGAACACCTACTCTAGACATCTTTAAGACACGTTTGGATGCTTATCTTGCTAGGATCATTTGACCCCAGCAGAATTCCTGCCCCTTGGGCAGGGGGCTGGACCTGATGATCTTGTAAGGTCCCTTCCAGCCCTAATGTCTATGAAATCTTTTAAACAAAACTGGCTCCAGAACCAACCCCAGGTCACTCCACTCGATACTAGCTGCAAACTAGATATTGAGCCACTTATTACTGTCCATTGAACCTGACAATCCAGACAGCTTTCTACCCACCTTGCAGTCCATTCATCCAACCCATATTTATTCCAGCTTGCTTGCAAGAATGCTGTGGGAGAAGCCTTGCTAAAGTCAAGGTATATCATGTCCAACTGCTTTTCCTGTAGCCACAGGGCCAGTCATCTCATCATAGAAGGCAATCGGGTTGGTCAGGCGTGACTTGCCCTTGTTGAATCCATGTGACTGTTGCTAATCACTTCTCCAAGTACTTAGAAATGGTTTCTTTGAGGACCTGCTCCATGATTTTTCCAGGAACTGAGGTGAGGCTGACTGGTCTATAGTTCCCTGGATCCTTCTTTTGCTCTTTCTTAAAGATGGACACTATATTTGCCCTTTTCCAGTCATCTAGGACCTCCCCCAGTTGCCACGAGTTTTCAAAGATAATGGCCAGCAGCTCTGTAATCACATCGGCCAAGTCCCTCAGCACCCTCGGATGCATTGCATCCGGCCACATGGACTTGTACACGTCCAGCTTTTCTAAACAGTCCCTAACCTGTTCTTTCACCACTGAGGGCTTACCTCCTCCCCAGAATGTGCTGCCTGGTGCTGCAAACTGTGCTGCCTCTGTCCCTGCTATAAAGTAGAGCTGAGTAAATTCTTACTAGATTTTTGTTTTGTTTCATTCTGGAAGTAGTGAGGATTATTGTCTTTGGAGTCTTTTTTGCTGATACATGACTGTTGAGTCAGCAGTCAGAGACATTGTGGCTTCTCTTACACCCATAGAATTATCTTGGACCATTTTAAACTCAGTATGCACATTGGAGGACTAGAGAATTATTTGGATTATTACACTACAGATACCAAGGAAATTAAACCTGAAGGAAAAATTTCAATGTAGTCAGTTTAAAACCTTTTTATTTATTTTCTAATTAGAAAAGTTTAACACACAGTTAAGAAAAAAAATCTTGTTGCTAACTCCCTCTAATACCTTCAGATTCTAGAGGACATTTTACAAGTAGCCCTTATCATTTTTAAGAATAAGTTGCACAATTTAGGACAGTCATAAAATCGTAGAAAAACAGGGATGGAAGGAACCCCTCGAGATTATGTAATTCAACCTTCCCTCCACCACTGCTGAAGGCAGAATTGTCTTCCTTTTTAAAGATGCTATTCACTGTGCTTGTGAAGTTATGGCTTAGATGTCAGGGTAGAAAAATAAAGTGTTGCTGGAATGAATTTCCTCAACAGTCATTGCAGCAATTTGTTTCCAGGACAGTATAATTCTTTGTCAGCTACCTTTTTTTCTCTTGTGTTAACATCTGAGTCCAAAAGTAAACTATAGCAAGCCTAATTGCAAGAGCAAAACCATTTTATAGTTCTGAACTACAGCTGAAGGAATAATAATTCATCATCTTTATAAACAACGATGACACTATTTATAAAAGTAGTGTCATATTCTTTAGTTTTTATTACATATAGCCAGAAATCCCTGTATATGGGCAAAACAAGTTTTTTTTGGTTTTTGTTGTTGAACTGTAACATGATAGTGTCACAACCCAAGGGTGTGATTTTTTTTTTTGTGTGTGCTTTGGCACCACTGAATTATTTTCCTGCCAATTTGTAGCTTTCTTTGCAGTGTGCATTTCTTCTTTGCAGCTAAGAAATGCACGTTGCAAGGAGTTCCCGCCATTTGTATTCTAATTCGAGCCCCATTATTGGCTTGCGTTAAATTATTCACGCGTGGCGGCTAGCGATTGGCTTGCTAGCCGTATAAAAGGCTTGAGTGGTTTCCGCCCAAGTTGGAGGACTCCACGAACACCAGGAGGAGGAGACTTCACGTTTCGTGAAGATCTCTAAGCGCTGCGGAGCCTATTGGACCCAGCGTATTTCAAGTAGGCAACAGGGGTCTGATCAGCCTACTCTAGTCCGCCTCTCTTCTTTTCTATCTGTAACTGTAACTCAAGCAAGTTTTCCTGCCTGCACCGCGACCATCTTCGGTGTAAGTAAACATTCTTAAATCAACCATTAAGTGTCCGTGCCTAATTCTAGCGTGTCGCCTGCTTTCTCCGACCCAGCATGCCCGGGCTGCTGGCCACAGCCCGCGCGGCGCGAAAAAGGGCCCAGATCGCTCCCGGCCCACACAGATAGATGGAATGCCTTGTTGTAAAAGGAAAGTAAAAATCTAGAACTCTTGGTTCAGAAGTGATGCCTTTTATTAGTCCAACTAGGAAATTGTAAAAAAAAATATCTTTTTCTGCAAGCTTTCGGGTTCAAATGCCCTTCATCAGGCTCTGGGAAAATTTAAACATGGTAAAAAGTCCTCATAGATAGGAAGTAATTTTCGTTTTTGCACACAGGGAGTTGGGGATAGAAAATCTGTCCCTCTGGGTCCATGAGGGTGTCTCTGTGAGTTGTTCTGAGTTGTTCTTTGTTGTGTATATCAGGTAGGATTACTTCCCTAGAGGTGTCAGATGGCAGGCAGGGAGGTTTAAAAATCTTTCTTGTTGTTCCGCAATGAAATTCAAAATCCAAAATTAGCTAAAATTCGGCATCTTCCATGTTTCAGGGATGTATTTGATAGTTGTGTTGGTCTGAGACAAAAGCTGTTATTGTATACAGTAATATTTCTGAATTTTGTGAATGAAAAAAGGTTTTTTTATTTATTGTCAAATAACAGTGTGCATCTAAAAATGAAGAGCGAACAAAATTTGATCAGAAATAGTTTGCTTTAGTTTTGTCAGCGATATCTTTCATATTTTACATGCTTTGAATGAGCTATTTACTTTATATGGTATCTGAAATTTCTTTTATTAAGAAAAATTAAATGTACCTATGTTTTTAAACATTGAGATCTGAAGAGTGGTGAGAGAATAAACATGTGTCTACACCAATACACCTTTATAACATTATTTATTTCATTAAAATAACATTTTAAGATAAACGACTGTCAAATGAAGTTGTATTTATTATGCTCAAAATGAGGCAAAATCTTGATGGAAGTGACTGTTTGCCCGTGTTCGAAAGTGGTCAGTCTCTTTTTAGGTGGTTTGCTCTGTTTTCCTTGAGCACTTCTTGCTTTTCACTTCTGAACGATTAAGCACCTCAGATGACATGCTGGCTTAAGATTATTCTGTTGGTCCTAGTAGAACTACCTTTGTAGACCAGTTTGGCCATCTTCAAAGCCTGAGCAAGTATAAGGCTAAATTACAGTAAAGTGGTTTCCAATAGCTTTTTTTCCTGTCCTGTGGTAACACTCCTGGAAACTGAGAGACTTAGTAAACTCTACAAGACAAACTTGGCAGGGTTCTTTTCTGAACATCTGCTTTTGGTTGGGAATGAAGATTGCTCCCCTTGCTCTTGGAATGAATCTTCTGTGGCCCATAATAGCATTAGCACAAGTGGCTTTTGCCATGGATGAATATTGATGTTATGTGTACCTTTAATTATCCACATGAATGTATAGCACAAGCTTTTGTAAACAGCAGACTTACTTCATCAGATGTGCAGGCTTACTTCATAAGATTTGCACCTTGTAGACTTTGCATAGATTTTGTACTTGAACTTTGTACCTTAAGACTTTTGCACTTTAGTCTATATCAGCAGTCACCAACCAGTCAATCTCAATCAACTGGTTAATCGTGGAGCCTCTGAGAGTTGATCTCAGTCTGTCAGAGGCCCCATGATTGGAAGCAGTAGGACGCACGTGGCTGGGCTGAGCCACGCTTCCTGCCACTTGGACTGGGCTGGGTGAGTGGGGTCAGAGCCCCAGTGGCTTGTCAGGGTGGCGGGGCGGGGGGCGGTTGATCCTGGGGTGCCAAAGAGTGATCTTCACCATAAAAAGGGTGAAAGGGTGGAGACCACTGGTCTATATGGTGCAAATCTACTCTGTCTTAAGTCTATCCCAAACATTCAGGTGGTTCAAAAGAAGATATCAGGTACAAAAATCCTTCCCCCTTGCATAATTCCTGGACATTCACAGCTATGACATCACTCCAACACTAGCTTAAATAATATCAGAACTGGAAGCAACCCTTCTTTCTTTAAAGACAATGGGAGTTTTGTTTCCACTAAAAACAGTGACAAATGAGGTTCTTTCTTAGAACTTGCCAAAGACAGTGCTGCACTGCAGCACTCGGAACTGCAGGGAA